AGTGTACTGTACTGTGTCATATTTTTGTGGTTTAAAAAAAAAATACATAGAACAGTATTTCAAATATGGTTCAGAACAGATTAACCGTATTTACATTGAACCTTATGGGAAAATTTGATTCGGGTCGCAACCAATTTGGGTTGCGACCAGAGTCATGGAACGAATTAAGTTCGGGACCCGAGGTACCACTGTAAAAGAAAAAAGACAAAAACTATAATAGTGAAAGTAGATAGAAAACTGAAACAGAACGTGACTTTTGACTATCTCCAATACAGATATAAATACAAATTGGAAAAAAAATAATCTCTTACCACTAATTAATCCAAGTTCATATTATTTCTATCAACACAATCCATCTAATCATTAAAACGCACAATCAAAACCTCATTTTTTCCCACACAAGCACGTAATCTAAAAAAGGTTGCCATAAGGAGACAAATTTAGAAACACTGTTATCTCTTATTAAAGCTGTTAACTTCGCCATTTGAGCCAAATTCATTAATTTTAATAATCCATTCCTCCACTGTAGGTATTTGTGGATCTTTCCATCTTTGAGCATATAATATTCTTACTCAGCATTCCGTTTTGGAAAGAATGTACAACGTAGTAGAATCTTATAGGAAGGGATGGTCTGGTAGGTGTAATTATGGAGGGTTAAGATCAGCACTTAGAATTGGACCCAGTAACTAATTCAATGACCAAAGCACCAGAATTATTTATGCCCATTCACACTTGGACCATCTAGATCCTACTTCCAAGGCATGGAAGTTGAAACCTCCATTACTTCATGCCCCGAATCTATCACACACACTCTACGTCTCAGCCTCTCCAACCAAAAAACCACTTTGCCAGCTGCAAAAAAACTTTAAATAAGCCCAAAAATCCCAAACAACATCCTTTCTAACACAGAATGGTGGATCTCATAAGATGCCACCTAAATATATATACTGCCCAGCAACATGCAGTTCTAGATTATTGTCCTACTTATTTGTACTAAATTATTCTTCATATCTGCCATGAACTATAATCAGTATCTGTTTGTGTTCCCTACCACATTAGGACTGCTGATTATAATTCATTCATGCCTTCTGGTATTATCAGTAGCATCTGCAGGAACTTGTTACTGTTATACAAAGCGTGTACAAAAGGAGTGGGGCTTGTATCTCTGCTTTCATCAGTCTGATTCCCCTTCCCTCCATTGCTGAGTTCATTGATTATATTTTGTTATTTAAAAGTTAACCTACTCTTGATGCTTATTTGAATTATATGAAAGAAAGTATCTGTTGTTCAGTAAAATATTTTGACACTGTTAACCAAAATCATATTTGTTTGCCGTAAGAATATGTGTGATGTGGATGTTTTAACAGTTATTGCCCAGTAGTGGAAACGATGAATTGAGGCAGTGGGACTGATAAAGTTTGTCTTTGTCATGGAGGGAGGAGGTGTTTGAATAACAGAGGAAGAAGGAAACGTGAAGCATTATCTTCAAGTTGTAATAGCTGCCTCTCATTCTTTAAAACCCTGAGATACCAGCAGGTGTGAATGCAACTTCTTCTAAACAGAGATAGATGAAACCTCACAATAATTTCTGTCAACTCTATTTAAACTTGCTCCTCAAAATCCAACTCCAGTTATTTGGTAGAGGGCAATCCTTGTATAGATCATCTTTTACCTGTATTTATTCTATGTATCTCGTAGTTAGCATTTGGCAACCCAAAGACTTGTAGAACATATTTTATAAATATATCAGATTAATTTTCTGTTCCTGCAACTCTAGTTTCTCACCTCCAAATTTACAGAAACTGGCAATATTATGACCATTTTAAAAAATCATTTTTATCTCAAGATTTTTTGCTACAAGTCCATAAAATTTATATTCAGCAATGATATTCAATTTATATTTAAATTGGTAAGGAGATACTCAGACACTTTTGAGTTAGGAAACTATATATTTAGCTGACTCCAACAACTGTCAATATTATATAACCTTCACATTTTTGGATTAAATCTTTGTTAATAATTTAAAGAGAGACATGTTCTGCATAAGCAATCTCTTGGACAATTCATTGTCTTTGAAGAATGCTATTGGCTTTTTTAAAAAAGCAAAATATACAAGATATTTAATCTCTATATAAATATTTAGATATAAATATATATCCTTATAAACCAGGGAGAAACAAATAGAAAGATAGCATGCTAAGTAATATCTGTAGTACTTACAGATTATTTGGATCTATATAGATATCCAGAACAGAGATACATATTCTTCCAATATTAGTGTTGTTAAAATGTTTCCAAATTATCAAAGACAGTACACCATAAAGCAAATAATGCCATTTTTTGCCTGATTAAGGCAGTAAGCAGCATTCAAGCCAAGAGTATAGTTAAGCACCTTAAGTTTCAGAGTATAGAAGGGAGAAAGTTCCCAGGCTCATGTTATTGATACAGCTGTTGTGGATCTGTTCTATCATATCAGATGGCAGCTACGGAATAAGAACAGGACAATTGTTACAGTTATCTAGGTTGTACATCAATCCATTATACAGTGAAAGCAGAAACAATGAGAAAGAGTCAGAAGTTTCTTTCACTTGTGAATTGAAGTTTCTTTCACTTTATTCAGAATATCCAAAAGGTCATTAATGAAAAAGTGCAGGGTGCCTAACAGACTCATTGGTTTGTTGTGCCATGAATGATTTGATCCTAGGATTTGTAACATTGTACCCTTTGGGAAAGTAAGATATCCACTCCAGTTTTATATCATTTATAACATTTGCTGAGGAATTTTAAAAACATCATCAG